CTTTATTTCACTCAGCTCCGTTTGCTGATCAGATCATTGAGGTAAAGGTACATCTCACACACTGAATGTGAGCAATTCTTTTTTTTTTTTTTTTAAGATATCTTTATCAATGGAGGAGAGAGGGAGAGGGAGATAGACACATAAATGATGATAGACAGACATCTGTCAGCTGCCTGTCCAGGAACCAAACCATGACCTCCTGGTTCATGGGTGGAAGCTCAACCCCTGAGCCACACCAGGCAGGCAGCAGTTCTTATTACAATTGTAGCAAAGATGGAGATACATAGTGATCCATTCGCATCCTCTAACTTTTTTCTCGCAAAGTGGCCAACAAGAAAAGTTAGTCCTATTTATTAACAGTGCTCGCGTGGCCATTCTCCCACACTGGTTTCTCATTTAAACTTAGGAAGTTATTTTCAAGGTTTCTGGAAAATTTTTAAAAATTGCTTCTTTTCTTGAACATATCTATAGGAAATAATTTATTCATTGGTAATTAGCATTTTTTAGTTGTTATATTAACCTGAGTTATTCCATTTCAGGAGATAAGCGTCTCTGAGCTATGCTTCCCCAGTGGGCGGGAGGTAACATCTGCTCCTCTTCCCCGAAGGCAGACACGTGTGCCCGCTGTCTTCCAGTCTCCCGCTCACTACAAGCAGGTCTTCACCTCCTGTCTCGTAGGTACGGCTGCTGCCTTGCTGTTTCCTGTGCTGGTTGTGTGGCTGCAAGCGATGCAGTGTCGTACGGTGTGAGCCGTGTGGCTATGAGCCGTGTGGCTGTGAGCGATGCAGTATCATGCGGTGTGAGCCGTGTGGCTGTGAGCGATGCAGTATCATGCGGTGTGAGCCGTGTGGCTGTGAGCGATGCAGTATCATGCAGTGTGAGCCGTGTGGCTGTGAGTGGTGTCGCTGTGAGCTGCAGTATCATGCAGTGTGAGCCGTGTGGCTGTGAGTGGTGTGGCTGTGAGCGATGCAGTACCATGCGGTGTGAGTCGTGTGGCTGTGAGCGATGCAGTATCATACGGTGTGAGCCGTGTGGCTGTGAGCGATGCAGTGTCATGCGGTGTGAGCCATGTGGCTATGAGCCGTGTGGCTGTGAGCGATGCAGTGTCATGCGGTGTGAGCCGTGTGGCTATGAGCCGTGTGGCTGCGAGCCGTGTGGCTGTGAGCGGTGCAGGGTCATGCGGTGTGAGCCGTGTGGCTATGAGCTGTGTGGCTGTGAGCAGTGCAGGGTCATGCGGTGTGAGCTTTCAAGGTGAGCTCTCCCCTTGGAGTGTGTTATCGCCCATGTTTACTCCAGAGTTTGACAGTAGCTTAATATCAGAGCCACATTGTTTTAGAGATGGGAAATGACAGTGTTCTCTTTCTCAAGTTATAGTTTTTTATTTTCTTTTAAACTCGAAGTGTTACAAGTGGTTTTGTTAGGAGGAAATTTTAAGCATGATGCCTGATTGGACGGCTCGTTCTGCTGTCCACGGGCAAGCCTTGCCTTTGAAGCTAGTGTTAGGTTACAGTTCACTCTGTTCACAGGCTCTTCTCCAGTTCAACAAGCAGCACACGTGATGCACAAGTGACGCGCATGCGGTTACTGTGACTAATCCCACCTTCTCTCTGTAGAGCATCTGAACATACTGTTGTGCGGGCTGGCTCAGAGGCTGCGCAAAGCGCTCTCCGCAGTCGACGTGTCCTTTTACACATCGTCCCTCGGAGCGGGAGGGAGCGCCGCGGGAAGCAGGGTGCCGTCCTGCCGCCACCAGCGGCCCGCGAAGCTCGTCATGGTGAAGAAGGAGGGGCCCAACAAGGTCTCGCTCCCCCTTCCCTCCCGTTGTCCACGAACGTTGTCTCCTTAAAGGTGCAGCCCCTGTTGCTCTCTCAGGCTCAGCAGAGTGTCAGTCTGACCAGGAGCCTCTACCTGAGCTTTCGTCACTAACAAACGCTTGGGAACTGAGAGCTGAGTGGTGGGTGGAGAGGATGGAAGGAAGGTTACACCGTGGCCGGCCCCAGGGAGAGCCTGGAGGTCGGGAGGAAGGGACTCGGCTGCCACGGGGCAGGGGGACAGAACGCCCCCAACTTGTTCATTTTGCTAAATGCGCACGGTGATGGGAGATGTCGTGCGATGTCTGTGTGTCGGTGGGTGGTGCGTTCTCGTGAGACCAGGCTTGCACAGCAACACAGGTTCCCTCCGTTGTCTGCATGCTGAGCACGTAAACTTGGTTTAAATATAGTTGTCAAACCAGGTCCATAAACCATATTAGAACCATGAGGTAAAGTGTTGTATATTATCTGATGACATAGTTGTCATACTAGTCTATGTTGTTGGTATAAGGGTTAGGTCTGAGTTTTACTTTAAAGAGCAGAGCAATCTACACGCGTGTATCGTGTGCGCACGTGCAGGTCAGTGAGCGGGAAAGGCTGTGAGACGTGCGCCCGATGCTCCCACACCCGCAGCTGCTCGGGCAGCTCGCATGCTGGCTGTCGGCAGTGATCACTTTAAATCAGAAAAACAGTGCATTTTATTTTCCAAGTAAGCTTACATTCTCAGAATAATGTAACATGTAACTTTTTGATACGGAAAAACAAGTGGAAAACTAGCTGGTTTTAAATTTTAATTTATTATTTAAATCAATGAAAGGATTGCGTTGTATAATGACAAACTTATTGGAGTGCATTGATGCCACGCAACCTTTGTGAAAGTCTCAGCTCACAGCATACAAGCCCTGGCCGAGCTCCCTGGTTAGAGCACCGCCCACTTTGCCAAGTCCCACCCGGTCAGGGCACACACAGGAAGCAGCCAGTGGGTGGAAGACAAACTGACCTTCCTCTCCCCCCTCGCTCGCTTCCTCTCTCTCTCTCTCTCTCTCTCCCCCCCCCTCACTCCCCTTCCTCTCTCTCTCAAATCAATGAATTTTAAAAAAAGGACTTTCCTTTTAAAAAACCAGTATAAAGTAGAAACACTTTTCCTCGCTGAATTGCATTATCTCCGCAGGGCCGTCTCTTCTACACCTGTGACGCGCCCAGGGCGGACAGGTGTGACTTTTTTAAGTGGCTTGAGGAGGTGGCCCCAGGACACGTTGCACAGGCGGACTCCCCGCCCGCCCTGGTGTTGA